TTTCTATTTATAGTAGAGACGGGGTCTCGCTCTTGCTCAGGCTGGTTTTGAACTCCTGACCTCGAGCAATCCGCCCGCCTCGGCCTCCCAGAGAGTTAGGATTACAGGCATGAGCCACCGCGCCCGGCCAACACGTCTTCTTTAAAATGGGAGATAACAGTACCTAGCACATGAGGCTGTTATAAAGATTATAGGAAAAAAATGTGTGTAAGAGCTTACCACCCTGCCTGGCACACAATAAGCATTCAAATGCATATGGCCAGTTGTTAAAGAACTCGTACATATACCTTGGATCCTTGCTGTACCTCACATCGGGCCTCCCCCCTTTTTCTTTTTAAATCAATAAGACACTTTAAAATGAGAATTCTCACTTTTTTTTTCAGCAAGAGGGTTTTTTTTAAATCTCTTAAAGAACAGTGTTACAGCAGGAATGAGATTAGCACTTGGGAACAGCACTTAGGATATGATTATGGGACAGAATGCATTCATGTGTACATACATCAAAGACGCTGAGGCTTTGGAAGGTATCGGTTAATGTGGGATGTGTCCCTTTAAGAGTTAAACTGTGACCGAGTTTAAAGGGCTGGAGGGGTCAGGAACCACTGTGAGGACATGGAGAATTTTAGGCAAGGACCACAAGAGGAAGGAAGATAATCATCTAAATAAGTTAGGCAGAAACTGAGGAGGGAATGAAGTTAGCTATTTATTAGTGGGGGACCTTTCAGGGAAAGAACCACATCCTATGTAGCTTAAGCAAAAATGGGAGTTGATTAGCTTACATAAGTGAAATCCAGGCTGATCTTGGCTGCAGGCAGGGCTGGATTCTGAGCTCAGATGGTGTGATCAGGGAACCCCTTTGCCCTTTGCCCTTCCACGTGGTAGACAGGATCTTTCCAAATAGTGAGCAAGACTCAAATCTTTTAGCTCAGTGACCAGGGAGAAAACCTTTTCTGAGAACCTCAGCAAATTTCAGAGAGGTCTCTGGCCTAACCTGTGTCACAAATCCAACCTTCTCCCAGTCACTGTGGCCTTGGGGAGACTGGGGTGCACTGGGCAGCATCAGCTGACCAAACCACGTGGGATTGGCCCACTGCCACCCGGAAGAGTTCTGCTTCCAAAGACAAGACCGGGGAGGCTGGACAGGAGCGAGGAGCAAATGCACAGCAGGTAGGGCCCTGCCCAACATCCCACACCACCTGCCAGTACGTCTGGGCGAACGCCCCTTCTGCTTCAGCCTGACAGCAGGACCCCTGCAGTGACTGCAGCGTTGCAAGACCACATGAGCTCCTGGAAATCTCATCTCAATCATCAGCAAATAGTTGTCCAGAGGACTAAACGTAGACAGTTCCTTTTCTCCATGAGGTTTGGAGTTAGGGCAGGATTTGCTGAACACAGGGTCAGCAGAGTGAAGAGTGGAGTGGGGGTATTGCTTAGGCAATGTTAAATGAATGCAGCCACTGGGACCACCTGGGGCCCAGCTGCAGGTTGGAGTGTCATTCTGGGCAGGTGATGATAGAAGAGGTGTGAGTTAACCCAGTTAAAATGCTGGTACTAGTATTGTAGACCTGCTAGTACTGAGCTACATGTGCAGCTTCATTTCCAGTGTCCTTCTTCGCCTGTATCATACGTAGTCCTCAGTTCAATGGAATATCATTCCATATCCCTACTAAAAAAATCTCATGAACATTTTTAGAGAAGCGTTTATGATAGGAAGAAGCACACATCCTGGGCTTCAAGGATGCCTGTGGGGCTGGGGCATGAACCAGTGGAGAGAACTAGCACGGATTGCTAGAATGCTTTAGAAATCCTTTTCTGCCTCAGAGAAGTGGCTAATTAAATTTGGGGTTTGAAACAGAAGGAGACATAAGATATAAAAAAAAGAAAGAAAAGGAGAGAAAAAAATAAATAAAATTTGGGGTTGGGTATTGGAAAAGTGCCAGTTATGGAAACGAGCATCTGTTGATCACACTCTGCTTCAGATGCTCGGCTCCTTACTCGGGAAGAAAGCAGAGAATTGCTGCTAGCACGGAGACAAGCAGGGGTGGTAGGAGGAGTGATTCATTATGTTTACTTTCAGGCCTTCATCTTGTAAAAAAAGATTAATTCAGTAGAACTCAAATTCCAGAGAAAAATGGACCATTTATTGTTTTAGATTCAGACTTAGGCACAGCAGGTGGATTTTCTAAATTGCCTCATCTGACATTTCCTAGAAATGTAAGCTAGCATTATTCCAATTTTTGGCAACTGGAAAGTTATATTTGAACATTCTACAAGTCAGTTGGCAGGACTGGGATTCTCAAACACTTAGGCATCTCCCTTGAGTATAAGCTTGATTTTGTCAAGTGATTTTTTACCATGAGACAGTCCTTTTTTAGATCTAGAAATAGTTTTAGAAAACTTAAATCATTTGTCAAAGATCAGTGAATAACATATACACTAGAGCCAGGAACTGAATAGTTTCTATTAGAAACAGGTTTCCTTATATCTTGGAGTCACTTTCAAAAAGTGACTATTATTTGTGCTGTATGTAATTTTGTTTAGCACATGGAATAAGTGAAGCCTCTTAGCAAACATCTTGTCCTCCTGGCTTTTCCCCTGGGTACCTCTAGTGCTAACTGTGGTGTCTGCCTTTGGTAAGGCCCTCACCATAAGAAAGCTGCAAATCACATATTTTCTTCTGGAAGCATAGTTTCTGCTGTGTCGGGCAGATCTAACAGGCAAATCCACTTTGCCAACAGTAATACCATATTCCAAATAATCATATCCTTTCATCTTTTCAATTGGAGATGGTAGACCTAAGCAAATTAAATTCAAGCAAGTACCATCAGTTAATTATTTCTTAATTGTTAGACAAGTCTGGTCTTTACCAGTTGTCTCTAAGACACCACTTTAATTAACTGTTTTAACATGTTTTGGTATACTCCCTTGAAATTTCTCTATTCAATAATCTTTTGGGTTATGCTTCAGTGTTTTTGCTTGCTTATTTTCATGAGTATCATAGATTTTCCCGGTATCACTCTGTATCTTTGGGGTTATTTAGTGTAACTTTACCCTTTTTGTGATTATAGAATTTCTGATATTTGAAAATAACTCTTAGGCCAATAAAATGCAGGCATTTCCTAGGGGGCAAGGGTCAGAGAAGAGATGAGACAGTGAATGAGTTTGGATTTAGACCTGATATCTAGGGGCCTCTGGGACACCCAGGTGGATGTGGCCAAAATGTACTTGGAAATGATCTGGGACTCAGAAGGGAGTTTAATGCTAGAGATAGATCTTTGCAACTACCAGCTTATAAGTAATGTGTGAAACTGTTAGAGTAGATGTAAACATCCAAAGGAGAAAGCATAAGTTGAAAAAAGACTGGTATTAAGAGGGCTGGGTGCGGTGGCTCATGCCTGTAATGCCAGCACTCTGGGAGGCCAAAGTGGGCAGATCTCTCAAGGTCAGGAGTTCGAAACCAGCCTGAGCAAGAGCAAGACCCCATTTCTACTAAAAATAGAAACAAAATAATTGGCCAACTAAAAATATATAGAAAAAATTAGCCGGGCATGGTGGTGCATGCCTGTAGTCCAGCTACTCGGGAGGCTGAGGCAGGAGGTGCTGAGCCAGGAGTCTTGAGGTTGCTGTGAGCTAGGTGACGCCACAGCTCTATTCTATGCAACAGAGTGAGATCTTGTCTCAAAAAAAAAAAAAAAAAAAAAAAGAGCTGGGCAGAGAAAGAAGATGTGAGTGGCCAGAG